ATTGATTTAAATTCACTTTAATGTGCCAAATGGAAGATTAATCAACAAAATTTCCTTGGTGTCTTTGAGGTACTGCTCATGTATCGTGGAACGACACGCTGAAAAATTTTGACATTAGGAATAAGGCACTAGGTGAAGATTTGAAACCAGCTGAGGTAGTTGGGAAGCATATTACTTATACATGACCACGATCTAGTTAGACGGATGGTTTGTAGAAGTAGTCTGGAAGACCAAAGGTGACTAAACCAATACATGACATCAGTCCATTAATTCGCTAACCGTTGGCCTAATCCATGTTGACAAGTACAAAATACCTGGTCAAGGTCCGCATGATGATCAAAACTAAGTGTGGACTGTGGGTGACATGGCTTAGAATGAGCCACAATGGTGTAGATTTATTCATCCTCCTCTCGATCTTGAGGTCCTGCACTTCAACCGTTTTCATACCATATTCTCAATGTTTAGTCCTTTTCATTACCACCACTATTAAGCTTCTTAAATTCCTTTGCTACACATCTTATTACTTTCATGTAATTGTACTATTGTGGTATGAAAGCCTGGGTTAAATCACATTTGAGCTACGCTCTATTTTGATGAAAACTGCTAATAATAGTATTTCAATTACCAATCACAAATATTCAGTTGATTTGAATGTTCTTCCGTTCTTTATCTTTTCCAGATACAAAATATAATCATAAAAACAGTCGAATAGCAGAAGATAAACCAAAACCAAGCCATGATGATCATAACACAATGATGAATCTAATTTCTAACAATATATCAAATCCTAGAGTAGTACACAATCGATCAAGAAGTCGTTCTAATGCAAATAAACTTAATTTTTCAAACTCTTCAAATTCATTATCTAAATTCACCAAAGAAAATAATAAACTGAATAAGGACAAAGGTAATACAGACGAATTGAATATGGTCTCAAAACCTACTATTTCACATTCTACGTCAGTGTTTGAAGTACGTGATTAACACCACAGTATCTATGTTAATATTTAGATAACCTTTAATTCATTGACAGAATAGAACATGTTATACGGAATCAAAATTTTACACTTTGTATTTTAAAACAGCATAGTTTACATTTATAAAACAATAACTCAGTGATTAAGTACCTTCTTAATGATCACACTTGATAGAGAAACTCTGGAACAGGTAGAAACGATCACATAACTGGACAGCATCATTGATGAACAACGAGTATCAGATGCAGGCTTAAAGGTAAGGAATGGCAAAGAATGTATAGGATTACTACAGTTGAAGAACATATTGAACTCAAAACAACTTTCTGCAAGCCAACATCAGTCACAATCTTAAGTGCGAACGTCGAGACAGTTCTACTGTACACAGATGAAACTTGAAGAACTACTTCAATCATCATCAAAAAATACATTTGTAAATAATTATCTACACAAGGTACTCAATATCCGCTGAATGGATAGCGTCAGCGATAGCTTACTGTGGGAGAAAAAAAACCAGCTTCCATCTGAAGAGGAGATTAGGCAGAAACGTTGGAAGTGGATAGGACATATATTGCGAAAATTAACCATCTGAACCATAAGGCAAGCCCTAACTTGGAGTCCTGAAAGGAAACAAAAAAAGAGGAAGACCAAAGAACACATTACGCCCTAGGAATTAGAAGCAGACATTTAAAAAAATGAATGCCGACTAGAGACGATTGCCTAGGACATAGTTCGATGGAGAACCCTGGTCAGCAGAATGTTCTCCACGAACGGTAACGTGCGTAATTAGTAATTCGGTAACATTGTCTTTTATTGTCTAGGCAGCCGGACAGTGTCACCGAATCCCACGCCAAAACATATGTTGATCAAAGCTGAGTATAATATGAATTTGTTTACAGTTATTGATTGAGGTGAACTACCAATATAGTTCAAGCAAAATATATATTTGAGTTTGAATTCAGCAAAAGATATTTACTAGTTAATTTACTTTCTTTTTGAAATTTCTGCCAACGATTTTTGACTGACAAATCCCTAAAACTCGATGAGTGTGAGTAGTGAAACTCGTGAATTTCAAATTGTTCAAGCTATAGAAGAGATTGTTAAATCGCTCGAACATCAGTAAAATAGTACACTGAACTAACCGAACAATGTTTAGTCAAACTAAAGACTATTATCGTCGTAAGTTCAAATAGAAATAATAATATTAATATATGTACTGAAAGCAAGCCTTTTCATCTTAATTAGCTAGCTATCTGTTGGATGTCAACAACATATATCTTTCTAGACAATTAAATGAAGGATTTTACATATATTATATGTGGAAATTCTTAGACACCGAATTATATAAGACAGTGGATATATGTAGTTCATTCACGATTATCCAAAAGTTTAAAATAATACTCAATTTCTTCATATTCATTTTTCTCATTTTAACTTAGCACTTATCAACAAACACAAATGAAAAGCACAATAATATTAGAATAAGATCACGTCAATCAGTTGGACAACATCGTATGAATACTAAATTTCAAATAATTAACAATGAATTTGAACGTGAACGTAGGCCATGGTCACAGATAGACAATCAATCAATTAATTCTCCCAAAAATGAAATTAGCCAACAGTTAGATGAATGGAAAGCCAATCAAAGTAGTGATGAAGAGACAGTATATCGGTTGAATGAACGAATTAAACGATTAACATTAAAATTTAATAAAAGCTAATGGTACATACACTAACAATATACCAAGATTATCATTTTATTTTAGAATTTGTAGTTTTTATTCATGATTATTTAGTAAATTTTAAAAATAAACCTTTTTTGACGATGCCATTTCAGATTAAAGTAAGCATAACTATCTAGATATTCTTTAGTTCGAAGTTTTCTGTAAATGAGTATTATTATATTTCACTTGAGTGTGGTCATTGAATTTACCATAGATATTACCTGTTAGTGTGTTTTACCACTGTATTTAGAACAGCTATATCAATGATATTGTAAAGTAATATCATATACTGTAATATTAATGAATAGATTTGGCTTTCGCCAGATTTATGTTATTTTTATGGAGTGTGTTGCTTAGATTTACTAGGTTCCTGATAGTATCTATGATAGAGACAAACGCATATTCTCATTAAAGCATGATTATACTTTCAAAATGTGCTACAAAACGAGTGGTAATCTCCTATCGAACCTTTCCCAAAAATGTTGACGGCGAGTGTCTTTTCACATCAATCATTCAGCCGGTTTTGGAGGTCACCATGTCAGACGATCACCCTCCTCCTACTTTACCTTGGTGCTTGCTACAACTAGACAGTTGCCTGAGCCTAGTTACAGACTATAACTGTTACCTGAGCTCGGACGGTGAAAGACCTTCTTAAGTGTCCTTCAACTCAGTTTGGTCTTTATAACTGGTCACTAAGGTGAACTGATACCATTACTACACCTAGGTACCTAGTGTTCTGGAGGGAAGTCAGAAATGTTCCTATTAAAAATCATAATTGTTTCACTCAAGCTCATCAGTGTGAGTGTAAGCAGAGACTACCAAAGAAGACAGAGTGTCCACATCTTTTCAAGTGTTACCATCCTGCTTATTTAGGCACCGCATAGTTGCACTCATCATATTGGCGATATTGTCAACGCTAGTGATTGTATAATTGAATGCTATTCCCATTAATAAGACATTTTAAGCATAAACACTGGTATTTTACCTTTACACTCTTTCTGATGTAGTATTCGGGTTCATGTAAACCTTCTAACGAACTTTTTATGATTTTTTGGGGCTCGAGAAATTGCATATAAAGAATGCTATTCATTAACAGACTCACTAATCATTAAATAAAGTGAAACGCTAAAATTAATTATATTAGGAAGAAGGAAAATACATAACTCACTAATATAGTTAAATTTGTTAGTTACGGGAGTTAATCTATTGCCTTTGTAAACTATATACATAAATTTACCTGCTGATTGATTAATGTTAATTACCTCCTGTTCAATGCATTCAAATCTACTCATTGAAAGGATATAATCATAAATATTTCGTTGTACGTTTTAAAGTTATCTTGACCAGTTTTTGATCAACAACAAGTTGTACATAGCTGTTTATTTCGCAGTAGTAACAAAAAACCATACCACCACCAGCGTATCAACGTTTTGACAAAACATTACACATTACGATTGAGCCTAAAGATGTTTTAGTCTATGAAAAAAATATATATTAAAATAGCAACAAGCTCTTCCGAATTCATACCTAATCTTTTTATCGGGAAAAATAAACAAAATTATAGCTGGAAATTATTCTAAACCCAATAACCATTTCCTTCAAGTTACATCAGTAAGTAACGATTAGTTCTAAATAAATTATGCTCCACTTTGTATAGTTCCCGTTGAGGAGACCCAGAAAATTCCTCGAAAAAAGTTATAGGTACACTGGGAAACATTTTATCAAATCAGCACTGAATAGAAACTTCTCAGAAACATCTAGAAAGTGGAGAGTCACGTATCACATTTCTGACTTGGATGATCCTTATCCTGATACTATGTTTAGTAGCATTCCAGAACTTTTCAGAAGTCCAAGGCCATCTGAAACGCTATAAATACACTAAATTTTCTGTATATATACTAACTTTAGACTAAAGCGTTCTTTACGTATTACGCGCCTTTTCGCTTGTGTTCAGGTTGTCGTGTAGAATTAGCTTGGGATTCTAAGAAGAGCTTAGAAAAGTGATTCAAGCGCGCAGTCAGATTTATCAGTTCCCATAAAAATGATTTTGGAATAAAGAAATAATACCAAGAGAATATTTTATAATCACAAATTTATAATGTATAATCAAACTCTAAGCTGTTCATTGACACTTACTGGACATTTTAGGCGGAACTGAGATCATATATACTTTAATGCTTAAGTTTTACTAGAACAAACTACAGCGTTGAAACAACAACAATCAAAGCAAAAGAAGTCTTTTTCTTCTTAAACTCAAAAGATTCCAACACTATGATATTACAAACAGTACCAAAATTTTGATATAATTTTATTTGCAATGTATTATATTTGAGTGATATCTGCCCGAGTAGATAAATATAACAGTCTAAGTTAGTTGGTATGTGTGTATGGGTCCATATATATATAATGATAAAAGGAAAGTACTTTCAAGTGTCGCAACTATTACAGTCAAAAGTATTCAAGACTGAACAGTGATTAAACAACAATAACAACAGAAATCAAGATCTATAGTTTACAAATTAAGATTTTTGATAGTGTTGTATCATCATATTAAATCTTCTTTGTTTCCACTTTTAAGCACAGAATTTAAATGAGTTAAAAAATGCATTAGGCACTTAACAATAAACCAAACCAAACGAAAGCAATCAACAACACAAAACATACAGATGCATCTCTCTCTGTATATATATATATATATATACTAAATGGCGTAAGCGTTAGGTAAGAGAGAAAATGTTTATTTCAATATACACACAAAAACACATTCAAATGGAGGTGGAAATGAGGACAAAAATAATAACAGTTAATGAATTTCTTCCTATTTTATGTATATGTATATGGGTAGATATCTTCATCAATAACTCCTGATTCTACATTGTCATTTTGTTCTTCTTCGTCGTCGTCTAGATGACGATTTACGTATGTAGGAAAAAATGTTTTGAAAAATAAAATAAATTGAAAACTCATCATTTGTTTTCTATTATACACAAATAATATCTGTAACATTTTCATGATGACATCATGTTATTCCACCGTATTTACTTAATAGTTCATCACATATTTTAGTTAATTCTTCGTTTTCACGAGTCTGGAAATAAACAGTGAAATACGATTGTAAATGACTATAAAGAGAATAAGCAATGAAAATAGTTACAACAAAAAATTGATGTTATTTTAACCACAATGTACTTTCTATGAAGTCAGATTTTACCATAAGAAGTTACGTTAAATTCATTAAAAATGTGACTTATACCTTCCGACTTAGCAATAAGGTCAGCTATTTGTCTATGTTAGATAATGAAAATGTGGATTTTGTGACAAAAGGACTCGATTACCAAGGTTTAAGTCGCATATTCGAATCCTGACCCAACTAATTCAGCTTGAACAACCGAATAGAATTATCATCTCAAAGATGAATATATAAACGTGTACTTAGTGTAAGTTACAGTGTTTTAAACAACAAGGAGGTCATACATAATATTGATAATTAAACATGCTAACGATAGGATATTGACAGATCCGAACAGATGATTACAGTAAGCTAAGATAAATGACTCAAGAACAATATCCTACCAGTGTAACTGCCAAACAATAGCACCACACAAAGTTATGTTAGTTGTTACTCACCTATTTTTCCATATAACACTGACGTAAGATCATAATTACCTAGAAAAAATGGGACTGGCATAATATACCTATTTGAGCTTGTTCCCGATAGATGATGGAGGTAAGATTCCTCTCTTCCTTGTGATGGCACGTCAGTTAGTTACTTCTAAATGCGTTTCGAACGCTGAGCAGAGCGTTTTAGTAGACCATTTAATTGGTCTGTTGTTCTAGTGATGCGGAACAGACAGTCATATACTCTTTGATCGATGACTACTGATCCGCCTAATGATAGAGAGGTCATAGGGGACTCCAGCTTCCGAAGAGTCATGATTCACCAAGTCTCGACGACTTATTACCAGCCCATTTCAAAGATAATCGTGAACTTATAAACAAAAACTGACTGGATTGTTCGAAATAAAAATGGGAAAAGTAATGTTCTAACTGAGGATGAAACGATCATTGATCCTTACCATTCCATATATTGTAGAAAGCTCATGAAAGATCAACTGATGAGAAAGTCGGTACAAAGACTACCAAAATTGTTGCAGATAAACCAAATAAATGTATGAAAATAATGTGCAGTAATCTCAAGAACCACGATTTCGAATACATTATTTTAGTCATAATAAATCTTCGTTTTTGAAAAAAATTCCAAGATTCTATAAAATCTGAAGGTTCATTCAACCGAAAATTCTATCGACGTGATATGATAAGAACGAATTTCTTCCACATCTGACAAGTAAACTCATCAACATAAAATGTTTATATGCAAGATTTATAAACTTCCCTAAAATGATTATTTGGTTTCAATTTGTGTTGAATGAAAAAGAAAAATTAAGGATACCTAAATAAAGTGAGAAATACTAGTTATTTTGTAGTACAATTTATGAAATTCCATGTAATTCAATCACCACTAAATATAAATCTGAGTATTTAGATCAGTTTTGACTGGTAGTTTTTTTTAGTGTGTGAACTATTGAAACCTGTTTCATACACATAAATCCCTTTATTATCTTAATGAGAGTAAGAACAAAGATTGATGCAGAATAATATGAATACATTTTATGTCGTTAGGTTCACATCATCTACTCACAACGTATAATATTTTAAAATCAAAGTTATTACATTTGTTGGTATATTTATAGATGCAACGGTGATTAGGAATGAATATGTGTATCACGATGTAGTGACGATTTCAATAGAATGAATACGATTATAAAATATTTTGTTTCAGATAAATAAATAAAGTGTTTAAGGGAAAGATTTTAGAACACCGAACTAGTGACTAGAAAACAGAGTTGACAAACTTTAGATGGTTGTGTAATGAAGTAACTGAAAACAGGTTAGTGCTATAAAAGAATGATATGACTTCAAAACAGTCAGTTCTAATCAAAATTATAAATGAAAGAAAAATGACAATGATGTAATCAAAACTTGAGAAAGAGGTGAAATAATGAATAATGTTCTGGAACTTTCTCTCCTATACATTATTTATTCATCTGAATCGAAATATTTTATGATCTTATTAACTCGATTGGACTCTTCGCTACATCATGATACACATATTCATTCCTAATCACCGTCGCATCTATAAATATACCAACAAATGTAATAACTTTGATTTTAAAATATTATACGTTGTGAGTAGATGATGTGAACCTAACGACATAAAATGTATTCATATTATTCTGCATCAATATTTGTTTTTGCTCTCTTATTGATACTTGGTTAGTAAAAGCAAATAACACGGAGTAAAGTTTGTTTTTATCGCATAAAGTATACACACGAAATAATAATCGGGTATATATACGGCACAATCATTTAAACAAACAAAAAAGAATCACTGGATGGAAAATAACACTACAGAAAGGTTTTCAATGATGTTTTGACTAAGGTCAGTTTCTGATTTAAACTATGAAAATTCTACAATCAATAAAAATCACCCTATACTAATAACAATCATGTGCTCATTAGTGATCGGCTTTAAGATGTAACTCCTGGAGTTCTAATGAAACGCTGTGACCAGTGAAGTTCAACCATATCGGGTGTAAGATAGTTACCCACTTTAGGCAATGAATGAAGGTAGCGCAATATCGTGGATTGATTGAAATTCGACATGTACACCGTCGGATGACGACTCGGTGGTCAAGAGGTTAAGCGCTCGCATCAAAGATCGAAAGCCCTGGGTTTGTGGATTTTCATTGCTGGGAAGTCCTATGATAGAACCAAAAAGCTGTTTAGTGCTACTATGTTTCAAAGGCGGCATAGATAAGATCACTTCGTGATTTAAACTATGGAAATTAAAGTGTAAGACAGTTTTTTCACAAAGAAAATTAGTGAATGACAAAATAGAATCAAAAGAGAATGAAAACCGATAATTTTATTGAGGCATATAGTGGTCATTTTAATGACAAATTTATGTTTACAACAAAGTGCGGTGTAAAATCAAAAATATTAATTATCACATACCTTTTGCTGTAACTGAGATTCAAGACTCTTAACTTGAAGTTCAGAAATTCTTAATGAAGCCTGTAATCGAGTTAGATTTGTTTCATATTCTTGTTTTATTCCTTCTGTATCTTGATTTACTCTATTTACGAATGGAAAAATATATTTAAAATGCAGATTAAAATGAACTTCGCACGTCATATTAAGTAAATATATACGATTCAGTTACAATATAGTAAAATGTGGGTAATCTGGATGGACTTTTGTTCTCTGAGCTGGGTAGTTCGATTGTGAAACTCTTAATATCTTTCTAGAGGACATTATTAGAACAGGCTTCAGATAGTTGTGAGTTATTAGGATTCTCTGTATACGACTGCCAATGTGATCAAAATTGACAAAACAAACGTTTGCAACCATTGGATAAAGTAATGACGTGGACTCCAACCAAGTAGTTTGAACCAACATGGCTCAGTTCAAAAGTCAGTAACATTGTGAAATGATGCCACGTATTGGTTTGGTCACCATCTAGCTTTCTTTCAGCCCACTCCAACAAACATTGCTTATCGCGGTAGGCGGTGGGTGGGCATAAGTAATACATGTCCCAACAACCTGAATCGACGGAGAGTCACTTTTACATCAGCTGATTTGCAACCTTCACCTGTTATCCTGCGTTTAACACCAACACTGTTCGCTCGGTGGTCCCAATATGTATGAGCATTGCTTCGAAGACATGTTGGGTTATATATTAGTAGTAAAATACGAATGCCCTCTACTTGTTAAAGCAAAGTTTTAGTCAAAAATTAAAGTAGAGCGAATTGCTGCCCAGTATACACGTTTATTGGCAAACGGACATCTCACCCATGCTACAGGTAACCAATTCTAATAAAAGACAAGAGAGTTTTGCATATCCGTGCTGAGACTTCATCAGATTAATTGGTCTGCCAAGGTAAGTAAAATGGTCGACGGGCTCAAATACTTTACTCAATATCACTGATTCCGATCCTGACCCAGACCAGTTAACAAGCTACTCAAGACCTACACAGACATTAAGCTGGACATACAACTAAGCAATCAATGCCATATTTTACTACTCAGTATAAGATAGAATATTTTATATTACTAACGGCTACTCACTTTAACAACTGATCTTCAGCGTGTTTTTTCAAAGCTAAATATTTTCTTTCCTGACGTTGTAATAAATTTTTATACTCATCGATGCTCTTTTTTAGAGCCTCTTCATTCTGACAAATAAGGAAACAAATATTGTAAAAACGATTTAAGAAGTACAGTAAAAGTACAGTCAGGTTAGATAATACTTGGAAAAAGTACACAAATTTTACGAATGAAAACAGATAACATACTTCGTTTTCTTTAAGAACAACAATAATGTGTTAGATGCACTTCATGAATTTCTAGAAATTTACTTTACTCAAAGTATTACAATAAATTTAAAGTCAACAACCTAAGGAAAAAGTTACTACTAACAAAAAACTAAATGATACAAATAAAAGTAAACTCGACATAGCATAAACTATACCTAGATACAAAAAGAAATAACGAAACATTGTTTTATGCTGTTTACTGTAGTCTTCAATCTAAAGTTAACCAAGATTAAAATCCTATTGCATACGCAGAATAAATAAAAAACTTTTTATGAAAGAACCTATAACTTTAATTTCATAGGATTTTTCTAGTTAGAATAAACAACTAAACAATATTAAACGAGTCAAGGCCACCTGTTGGAGATAGTCACCAGTAAACTCTGGATTTGCGTTTTACTATATTTAATACTCATGAGTGAGGTGTATCTGTATTCTTAAGGAAACTGACCCATCTCTGTGCATTCAATCTCGCATCACCTAGTTCAACAGTTTGAGATGTTACTGCTGAGTTATTTGAGCTGAGACACACTCTTATGTACGACTAAAGGATATTTACAATTGATTGGTTATTGAGCAGTGATCAACGTCATGTTTTTATTTAGTTCGTTAACACTAATTGAATTATAACGATTTAGTTGCAGTTCGAAGGATATAATTTAATCAGTACTAAAGAATTAGACAAGAACATTACAGTGGTCATTGCCCAGTGACCAATCAAATGTAAATAAGAAATTAATAATATCTTGATCCCCTCACCCTTATAAACAACTAAATGACAAAGAACTAATATCAGTTCAGGCTTGTGGATATTGTTAAATTTCAATGAAATCATAAATCGGTCTACGATAGACCACCAATGATAACCCGGAAGCACTGGACGACTATTTAGTCCTAGAATCAAACTTCTCAGAAGTGGGCATTCACGACCGCGCACGCGAAAACCCAGGACCTTAGATCTCGACAACTGACCCAGCACTCCACATGACGGACGATGGATGGATACTGATGAAGAGTCCCATACTAGAATAAGACATCCAAACAGAGCTTCCAACTTTTTAATGGTGATTTAACTCGGGTCGATTATTGATTTCAATAAAATTAATATAAATTATTCAGTCTTTTAATATGATGGTAGTTTTGCTTTCAAAAAGACGACCTACTCGGGAATACAGTGAAGTGCTGTGTATGTAACTAGTGGTTATCATTTCACAAAAGGTATATGGAACATTTAGAAGCTATATATATATATATATATATATATATATATATATATATATAGAATAAGAACAGCCTAATGTTTCAACAACTAAATAATTATGTCTATTTAGAACTTTAATGCTACATCATTTGATTTTACACAAGAAATCAATGGAGCGAACAAAAGTAATGACAAAGCCTTATTTAAAAACGAAAAACTGGTCATTAATGAAAGACGAGAACAGTTTTTCGTTTTTAAATAAGGCTTTGTCATAATTAACTAAGAAGTGTTTGCTGATCCTTGAAATGAATATAAAAAATTAAAGAGGTAATTAGTTATTGACATAAACACCTATAAAAAGACAGAATACAACGTCAGCTCAGCATGCAATACACTGATCTAGAATATCAAATGTACTTCATTTAAAGTAAAAAAGAGTAAGGAATAGTTTACATACATAGAACAACTAGAATGTTGTAATAGTCCTCCACAGAAGTACAAATTATGGACGACATAATGTTTATTAAAACAAAAGCAGAATAAAAAATCAACATAAAGAACACAAATGATGAGAAATGGAAGTAATAAAATATATAACATTACCAAGGTTTGATTTGATAATTTCGAATAAATTGAGCATTGGGTAGATTATTATAAATAAATAATATATTTGTAATATTCCAATGAGTAGAAAAATTAAATTTTCTGACGTTTCGTGACTTAGTGCAAATTACTTCTTCAGAGAATAAATAACCAAAGTAAAATTAATCCAAGTTTAAATAGTATGTCAGAAATTCTAATTTTTCTACTCATTGGAATATTACAAATATATTATTTATTTAAAATATATAACAGTTTAAAAACAAAAGAACAAACCTGTTTAAAACCCTCTATAATTTGTTTTGATTTCTCAAAACGTCTGTGTAAATCCCCAAAAGCTTTCTCAATAGTAGCTAACTCTTCTACAGCTTCATCCCGTTCTTTAATTAAATCAGCTACTGGAATATTGACTTCTCTTTGACTATGAGCTTTCTCTTCAACCATATGCTGTAAACTACGATCATACTCTGTGATACAATGTCTGTTAAAACGTAAGTAAACATATACACATACTTATATAAATAAACATGGAAAATGATCTGAACAAATAAGAAAGTCAGATTAGCTGGTAAAAAAAGTCCTGAACCGGACCGCGCCAACGAACGACTTCTCTTCCGGCCCCACAACAGTGTCCTCAGGACTGCTCCATCTTTTAAGTTTTCTAATAAATTATATTTCACATTTCATACTTGAACTCGATTTAGTTATTCCACAGTAATCTAATCCCTGTTAGATATAATTCATCAATGAATTTCCCATCGAACTAACACAAAAAACTTCATAAACTATCAAACGAATAAAGCTGGTAAAAAGATAGTCTATTCTGTTGACTACGATAACTTCTAGGAATTACTACAAGGACATGTAAATTGATTCCAGTTAATTTCACAATACGAATACCATCCGTAGGTCGTGAACAACATAAGGTCATTTTGGTTAGTTTATGCTTAATTAACAGTTTATACGAAATTTTATAATATAATGCCTACAACACTCGAAGGAAACAATTCCATATAAAGACGTTTTAAGAGTAATTATCAATAGAAAAAGCGATGAGACTGCCATTTATGGATGACCTTTGAGCGACGCTAAAGTGACCTTGAGAATGTCCACCTACTAACTAGAACTAAATGACGCTTATAAACCAGTGTGAGGAATTAGAATTATGATTTACAGTTAATGTTTAGGGTTAGAAATTAGATTTAAGGTTTTCATCACGAACTGACATCAGTTAAAATGCCGAAACGCTTTTTAGCCAAATAGATAAATGAATTCCGAACCACATTCCAAGACCTAATATCTCAAATTTGATTTGTTCGACCATAAATTATAATCTCACTAGAAAAACAAGTAGTATAAGCAAACACTTACTTCATCTCTTCAATTGTAGTTAAAAGTTGATCTCGTTCCTTGCGTAGTGTAATTAATTCTGTATCATTTGATTTAGAATCTCGTGATGATTTAAACGGATATTGAGGAGGTAGCTGAGAGTTTTCTTTTCCATTTACTAAAGGTGTATCTGATTTGTTGAGCATTCCAGCTTGAGCTGGTGATGCTGGTCGAGTTGATGAATCAATACGTGAAGTCTACATATTAAAAATGAAAAACAGATCACTTTTAGAAATGAACATGATTTCTAACTGAATTGACTAAATTTTATTATTATTCAAATGTAGAAATAATGTTATAGACTTTATAAAAAGCATAAGAACACAAATCTTATAAAAATTTGACAAATAAGCTACAAAAAGTTCATAATGTGAGTAACTTGCGTGAGACATCGCTCAGTTACAAATAAATGCATCAATAATCGTATGATAGTAATACAAAAAACGTATATACAAACAAATAGAGTAGAACTGTATGGTAATTTCAAGACAAAAAAATATAGAATTAAAAATCAAATGATTGGTTGATAGAATATAAAATTTATGCTACGAAATTTAAGGGCATACAAAATAAGGTCAATATTTTACGGAACATTATTTCAACAGTAACATATACTTTAAACCATATTACTATAGTCCAAAACTTGAGAAAGTTTAGAAGTAATCATAAAACGAGAAAACTTAGACACTAATAATAAATTCATAAAAATTTTTACTGAATGTAACACATCAATTATGTACAGGTTAATGGTACTTAGCCTTCAAACACACTTCTTGGTGTGAGGGCTAATTAATCACACCACTCAAGTAGTCATGTCTAGTTGAATGAAAATTGTTTTAAACTCTTCTAATTTCTAAAAATCTTGACATTCAACCACTACGTCCCATGCTCGAAACCCATTCTAAGCTGATTAGTCACATATAACATTAAATACAAGAATACTACGAAAAAATCAGCCCGGTAAAATAATGGTATATTCTTAAACTTGTTTAAATATCCAGAGAAAAGATTTTTTCGATTATTTCATTTACTTAAGCTGTATAATAGTATCCGTAGTTCATTTACCTGCAAACAATGGTAATTCATAGTAAAATATAGAATGGTCTCAATCTTTCTTTTTATCTTCGATAATCTTTCCGATAACTTTTCACAATTACTAACTAACGATTAATACAGAATTAGTACCCAGTTTCTATTTAGTAGGCAATTATCTTCACCTGAACGTCTGTCATTAACCGTTGGATTATTACATAACATCCTTTTGTAAGCAATTTTTAACACAATACCATATAAACTTTATTTTGGTCATTCAACACCATTCTGTTTCATTGTAGATTACTCAACCGGGTTGAATGAAGCCTTAGAAACTCATCAGTATCCATTACCCTTACCTGAAGATCTTTTTGCTAAACTGAACGGAGGTAAGCTTTTTGCAAAGTTGGATTTATCAGAAGCTTATTTACAAATCCCTGTTGCTGACGAGTCTAAAAACCTGCTTAACATAAACACACACAAGGGTTTATTCCGGTATAATCGATTACCCTTTGGAGTCAAGACGGCCCAATCCATATTTCAGCAAATAATGGATACTATGCTACAAGATGTTTCAGGTGCTGCAGCTTACCTAGATGATATAATAATTATGGGAGTAGATAGAGTAGACTTAGAAAAGAAGCTTGACCAGGTGCTGACACGAATAGCCGAATATGGACTTCGACTTCGTCCAGAGAAATGTGACTTCTGTATGCAAAAAGTACGTTACCTTGGGTTTATAATCGACAAAGATGGAAGAAGACCAGATCCGGAGAATACCTAGGCAGTGAAAACTATGCCCAGACCGACGGATGTCACCACACTACGATCCTTCTTGGGACTAGTTAGCCATTATGGAGCTTTTATCCCAAACCTTCATCAATTACGTGCCCCCCTGAATAACCTTCTGGTGAAGAATGTAAAATGGAGTTGGTCTGCAACTTGCCAAGCTGCTTTCGATGAAATCAAGAAAGTACTAGTCTCGGATCTGCTGCTCACCCATTACGATCCATCCTTACCCATTGTAGTGGCATCAGACGCATCAAACTACGGCATGGGAGCAGTTATTTCTCACATCATGCCAGATGGATCCGAGAAAGCGATATCACATGCGGCTAGATCGTTAACGTCAGCAGAACGTAACTATAGTCAGATCGAGAAGGAAGCATTGTCGATTATCTTCGCTGTCAAGAAGTTTCACAAGATGATATTTGGACGTCAGTTCACCCTATTAACTGACCATAAACCATTACTAGCCATCTTTGGGTCGAAGAAAGGTATACCGGTATACACAGCAAACAGACTGCAACGTTGGGGGACCACACTTCTGGGTTACGACTTCAAGATCAAGTATCAGTCTACTACCGCTTTCGGGCAAGCTGACGCATTGTCGAGATTAATAGGCTCCCAATCGAAAACCCCGGAGGAGACTCTTGTAGCAAATATAAAAGCCGAGGAAGAAGTTCATCGCGTGTTGGATGACGCAGTTAATGGACTCCCAGTAACCTTTGAAACTATCAAGAAGATAACTGAAAGTGATAAGATACTGAGCTCAGTTAAAAGCTATCTCTTGACGAAATGGCCAAACAATCGCCTCGACGGAGAACTTTTGCAATATTTTCGTCGACGGGACTCTCTAATGGTTGTTGACTCCTGTATTATGTTCGGTGATCGCATTGTTTTCCGAAGTTACTACGTCACAAGGTCCTCAAGCAGTTTCACAGTGGCCATCCTGGAATCAGTAAAATGAAATCTTTGGCTCGTAGCTATGCTTATTGGCCGTCAATGGACACAGATATCGAGAATAAATGCCGTAACTGTTCATCATGTATCCAAGCCGCTAAAAATCCTTCGAAATGCGAGCCTCAGTGTTGGCCTATGCCCGCGGGACCCTGGGTAAGACTTCACGCAGATTTTGCCGGTCCAATCCAAGGGAAAATGTTTCTAATTATCGTAGATGCATTCACTAAATGGCCGGAAGTATACATCATGCCAAATTGTACAACGTCAGAAACGATCCGCAAGTTGTCTACCCTATTTAGCAGTTTCGGAGTGCCAGAGACCTTAGTGACGGATAACGGCTCTCAGTTTGCCGCAGAATCGTTTAAACATTTCTGCAGAACAAACGGAATAAATCATCTTCGTTCTCCACCCTATCATCCACAATCAAACGGACAAGCAGAGCGCTTTGTGGACACTTTTAAACGAGCATTACTGAAAGGGGGAGGAGAAGGGACGACTGAGCAGGTGATCACAAAATTTTTGACATCATACAGATCCACCCCAAACCCAAATGTTCAAGACGGCAAATCTCCCGCGGAAGCCATGTTTGGAAGGCGTATTCGAACAGTCTTCGATGCCATGTTGCCATCCAAACCAGTGGATGAGCGTAGTCGCGACCCAAGTATCCGGAACTTCAGTATTGGCGACAAGGTCTACATTAAATCCTACATCGGGAAGAACCGATGGGAGCCGGGCGAAGTGGTGCAAAAACTGGGAAGAGTACTGTACAAAGTTCGAGGAGCTTTTGGGACATGTATACGTCATACAAATCAAATCCTTAAGGACAAAAGGACAGTGCAGACTCGAAGTAACCGGCCGACTTTCCCGTTAGAATTAATCTTAGACGCACCAATGCCACAAACGCCCAGGAACACTGAAAAGAAGTCTTGGACAAGAAAGACGACAAGAATAATGGGACGCCGTCGCAATCCAGTTATCAAACTACAAGTGGATCCCAGAAAGAAATCTTATTCGGGGGAGGTGTTGGGTCGGCTTCCGGAGAACTTCAACGGAGCCTCCAGAGGCCCACAAGGAGCCGAAGAGTCCTGGCCAATCAGAGTGTGATGGAACGTTCTAGAATTCCAACGTGGCGTGCTACTATTGGTCGGTAGCATAATGTGCTGTTATCGGATTGGCTGTAAAATGATGTTGATTTAACAGACGCCAAAATCTATAAATACCCATGATTTTCTGTACAAAGATGAACCTTGGAATAAAGTGCTTTCTCTCATTCTTGTGTCTTCTCTCTGGAGTTCAAGTCGCTGTGTAGTTCTAGACTGCGGGTTATCGGAATAGCTTAGGAATCGTATATAGCGTTCAACCTACACGACTTATCACATTTTTAGTAAATAAACTAATTGTAAATAGGATTGTACAATTTCAGTAAATGGAATCACCAAAAAGCATATTTTCACCGCTGAATTGTCTTTAATCTTGTTTAAGAGTTAACAAATAACTATTTGATTTAAAGCTAGTCAAAATTACAATTGATCAGGTGTTATATTGCATAACATAACTTCTTATTGATATTCTACATAAGTTATATTTTTTACTAGTATAAAATGACATATATCCTGCTGTTAACGTACTGCTTAGCAGTTCGGTTCCGTTATACTTGGTAAACGTCAAGAATTGGCACTTAGAATAGAAGATATTCAAAGGTTACTAGTATTCGACCAAAATTGTCATCAACGCATCTTTTAATTATTTTGCAACTACCAAGTGAACAATCTCTGCGTTAAAGATAGGGTATCAGGTAAAAATGATAACTCGATTGATGAGGTAGTAAATCTCCGACTGCAGTGGTTTGGACAGATGTTGCGTAGGTCTGACCACATCCTACATCGAAGGACGAAGTTGTCTGGTGTAAGAGTAGGTTGGAAGAAAGCTAGGAATGATCAAAACAAGACATGGCACAAGTCCATGAAGTCACTGACAAGTGGATTGAGTCATGTTGGTAGGTGTAGACTACCTGGTTGGGGACCGCTAGTTGATAGCAACCGAAGGTTAGAGACCTTGAATGACATGGCTCAAAATCGTTTGCAATGGCGCAAGTGCATCCACTCTTTGTGTTCTCCCAAATTTTGATCTCCTTAGTCCTCCTTGTCTCTTTTTTTCTCTTCCCAAATTTATTTCACTGTATTATACTCTTTAAATAACGTCTCCAAACACTAATTTTCCTGATTACTGCTTATACTCTTATTACCTCTACTACTACGGGATTTGAATCGACCACTGCATCTCTGTGCTAATGTAGTGTGGCAACTCGTACTGATGTACGTACGTACGAAGTTCTACGTTGTTACTGACTGACTGACCTGGTTGGGGTATGAGAAATGACAGTAAACGATGGTTAGAGACCTTGAATGACATGGCTCAAAAT